TTTCTTTTTATTATTTTGCTGCTATAATGACATTTTATTTTAGGACATATAAGGACAGTTTTCAGAGACTTTATCGTTTGTTTTATTCTACCGTTATCATGTGCTGACCCACACGCTATGACGGGTCATACAGAAACTCACGTTACGACTAATGGTATTTTTCAATGGTAAGTTTCGTCCTCGTCTTCAGTGACCGTTTTACTTGTTTCACGCAGACGATGTTGTTGGTCACTAGCTTCTCGGCAGGAACAGATCCAAAAGGTATGGGTAGAACCGGTCACACTTGTGAAGGACGTGTCCATTTTTTCCACAACCACGGGGCTCTTAAGTTGCCCAAATGGGATTCAACTGGAGAAGCACGACTTTTCTCCGCCTTTTATACCCTTCGTGCGACATGTGAACAATGGATTTCGGTCAGAGCGCCCTGATCTGATGGGATCCTGGTCAGAGCGCTCCGAGATCCTGCTTTCCGATTGGTCATCAAACCATTACGTAATAATGCGGTCGGTGGCAGGGCGCCCTAACCTTAAATCGGTCAGAGCGCTCCGAGATCCTGCTTTCCGATTGGTCATCAAACCATTACGTAATAATGCGGTCGGTGGTAGGGCGCCCTAACCTTAAATCGGTCAGAGCGCTCCGAGATCCTGCTTTCCGATTGGTCATTAAACCATTACGTAATAATGCGGTAGGTGGTAGGGTGCCTTAACCTTAATGTGGAAAATCAGTCAGAGTGCCCAAAGATTCTGCTTTCAGATTTGTTACTTGACATCAAATGCGTCGGTGGCAGGGCGCCATAGCTTTGATGGCATGGCATTCAAGTGAACCCATGTACCCAGCTAAAATCTCACAACGTCTCTCACCGCACCGTCTCCCTAACCTCTGCTTTATTGCGGGATAAACAAGACTTGTTCTAGAACATTAACCCTAAACAGTACACCTGGGGTCCGCGCGGACCCCAGCACTATATATTCTGTAATATCTTTTTTGTTTCTAAAGATTTTTTTCTGAAATTTAAGGTAATTGTTACCCACAAAGTTGTCTCTCAATACAGTGCAGAAAACTCCGTTTCTACCATTTATAAAAAAATTTATATCTGATTTTCTTTTGGGGTCCGCGCGGACCCCAGCCGGCTTTCGATCATAATGAATACACTGGCGTTCTTATACATTACCTTATTTCCGTTTTTATATGTTTTTATGCACTCATTGTATGTCTACCAAGTTTTCAGAGAATGGTGTAGTAAAAGAATTAAATTTTAATAACTTTGGTGTAATTATGACGTCATATGACGTCAGAGCTAATAATATAGTCCGCCATATTGGATTTTGACCAATGACGTCATCAAATTAGCATATTCTATGCATATT